AGAGAAGAGAAGAGAAGAGAAGAGAAGAGAAGAGAAGAGAAGAGAAGGAAGGAAGGAAGGAAGGAAGGAAGATTATAATGAGAGTGAGGGAGGGTCTCAGGGAAATCCTGCCTTAGCACTTGGCCACCACAGGTGCCCCCGACACGAGTCCCATGTCACGCCCACTCTGGCCACGCCCATCCCCGGCAATGCTCCCGGCAATGCCCCCCTAATCCTAACCCTAACCCTCAATGAAATCAAGTTTGACACCCCTGTTCTAAACGAATGAAATGAAATGAACAAAACAGAAGTATCGCTTTATCTACACTATCGTTTCCTAGCTAGCACAAATATTCTTCTGGAAAAATAAGTGCACAATATTAACATTCAATCCAGATACCTGCAACTCCAGCCCATTTTCCAAAGGCTACAACTCGCACTCCTCTGTGATCCACCATTTTCTCATAATCTATCAACCGGATATTCTAAAAATATAAAAAGCAGGGAGCATGTGTCAAGTCATAGAAGCCAGGCAGGCAGCACATTGCTTCTCACATTAGTCTCCGCGATCCAGAGACAGGTACATTTCACAGAAGTGAATATGGTTTCAGTTTCGATATCGGGTTTGGGTGCCTCACAAATCTTAGGCGTATATCGCTGGAGCAAATGGGATTGAAGCAAGTATCAAAGATTAAGCCAGCCTTAATATCTTTCATTTCAGAAATAGCAGCATAAGACAAATGTGCCTTTGGTTTACTCACGAGTTCAAAATATTATGTAGTCTTTAAAAAAAATCATTAATATGATTAAAATCAGTTTTGTTCCCCAGAGGGTATTTCTTAGTATTAGTGACTATTTTGTTTCAATACAATCTTGATTATTTTTTTTTAATTTGCATTTGACTTATCCTTCCCTTACTCCACTTGAATTTCTCGAAATTGCCTAAAATACAATTTCAGTCTCTCCAATCTAACTTAAAAATTAATAATTTACTGTGTGAATGAAGAAAAGTTCATGAATATATATGGACGGGAACAGAAGGTAAAGCCAATTAAAGATAAACATCTTTTAAGCGTAGTAAGAAATTAAATCAAGCGTTTGATGCATGTGTAATGAAATGTAAGCCACGCTGATGGGAATGTTGTCTGCTTAAATTAATAGAGTCTAAAAACGCTCACCGTGGATTGGAAGTGTGTGTATTTTTCTCCTCCCTTTTGCCTTTAAAACTCCTAACACACATTATAGATAATTGTCAGAGTATAGAAAGCGAATTGCATGCTTGACACATATTCTCACACTGCTTCTTTTGCATTTCATAATGGTATTATCATACAATAGTTCTCCGTAAGTGCGGTATTACCTTGCTTAGGATCTCATCCAGCAAGGACATATTTGCCCCTTGAGCTTTGATCGTATGAGAGAAAAATGCATAGTTCTTGTTGGGAATTAGCTTATCTTCTGGGGGCCTCTTCACACCCACAATAAGGCAAGCCTGTGAAATATCTTCTTGTATAATGCCTCCCGCTTTAATATAGTCCTGCCAAGGGATCATGAAAAAGTTACTGACGTAGCCGAGATGAACAAAAGCAGAAAACGTAGATAGGTGTTTTGTAGAGCCAGTTCTGGACGAGTATAATTTATATCTATGCTGGTCAAGAGAAATGTGAACACTCTTCAGATGTGATTTTGAAGAGCTACTTTAGAACACAGCAAAGGCTGAATACAGGCAGTCCCTGGCTTACAACCACAATTGGAACTAGAATTTCTGATGCTAAAGAAATTTTTTATGACCTGAATGGTTGTTAAGCAATTCACTATGGTTAAGTGAACCATGCAGCAGTCATTAAGCATGGGCACCGGTGTCTTTTTTTTTTTTTCAGTGCCACTGTTAACTCTGAACGGCCACTAAACAAGTGTCTGTACGTCAAGGACCACCAATACAGAGCCTGCCACTCATTAAGTCACATCTGTTTCCAGGATCGCATAGCTACAGCAGAAGCTTCCCCGTGGAGTGGTTCTACAGTCCTGTAGAGGGGGAAAAACACGCTTTTGATTTTCAGTTAGACCAGAGGTCTATATTTCTATTGTCTTATTTAGAATTGCCAACGTAAAGGGAGGGGGGAGCAGTGCAGCCGCTTGCAAACCGAAACTGCATTCCATCAATGTTTTCAAAGATAGTAACTAGGTGACTGACGTTTCTGCCACGCAAAATTCTAAGTGGAGAGCATGACTGATGACTCTGGGCTATGGATGTGTCCCATTGGAGGATATGAATTACGATATACCCAGAGGGTGGGGGGGGAAACAGGGTCAAGGGTGACAATGAATTATGTATCTCGAAGTCGGCTACACCCAGGCAGTGCCTAGGCAAGTATTGGGAGACAGTTTAACTCCCAATAAATCCTTTATAAGTTTTGGAAGTTTGGCTCAAGACTCATGATTTAAATGGGGGTGACTGCCGGAATCCTGACACCAGAAGCTTCTGAACAAGGTTCTTCAATGTAAAATTGTAAAATTTTAAATGTAAAATTAAAAATGTAAAATTCATCCTTCTTCACCTCTGCTGCTCTTGCCTGTCTCTAATTCTTCTTATCGTTCTATTGTTACATTCCTTCTTCTGAGCCTTGCTTTTTGACCAAAAGTTTATTAACATCTCAGGCACATCCTTTTCCCAAAGTCTCTGCCTCTTCCCTCTTTCTTTTCTGAAAGCCTCCAGCCGCTTTACTCCCGAGTAACGGCATTTCAGCCCATCCATGACAGGATTTCATTAGCTTTCCACAAATCTTATCTCTATAGTATAGACAGCTTTGGTGGTTTAATTCATTTGCCCTGTGCCTTTCCTGTATCCCTTCTGTTCAAAAGAGTAAAACAAAATGTTACACACAAACAGCACCATGGCCCAAACATACCTGTTCATGGATGGCCCTGCGATTGGACGGTTGCACCAGGACTTTGTACCCCAGGTTGGTCAACATCTTGACATGGCGTGGTGCTAGAGGGGCTCTTCTTTCCCAGGCATTGACATCCTCCCTCCTGATGGCCAGGACAGACTTATGATAATGCTGCCATCTTGAAAGGTGCCTCTCGAACTGGTCCCCCGTGTGTCTGAACGCTTGCAGCATGATTAAAAACCTTGCTACGGCAAAGATGCAGCAACAAACAAATGCAGCATTTAAAAATATATATATATTTTTCTTGAAGCAACATTTTAATGGAACAAGAGAGAAAAGAAATCTTGACCCCTTAGAAATCTGCTGTAAAATTTAGGCAGCTGATAAGCATAATTGCACATTGCCGTTATCATTACCATTATTGCTATTAGTATTACCAATAGTCAAGCAACTTTGAGCCCGTTTCTCTTGTTCAAGTGGCTCTTCTTGACTAAGCAGGATCGTAACAGGACTTTGCAGGTAACATATCAAAAAAGGGAGAAGTGCCATAAACACACACGTGCAATTGAAAACAAACAAACAAAGGTGCTCCAAAAGAACTCAAAAAACAAATCCAAACCAATCAATCTAACCTTCCCCTAGAATTCACACTGTTCATGATTCGGAATAAAAAGTTCCTACCAAGCACATTGATCAAAATTATAATAATCCACAATCCACAATTCCAATTCTAATTATTTTTTAAATTCATTGATTAAATGTATATGCTCTACACACACACACACACACACACACACACACACACACACACACACACAGACCGCTGTTAACAGTGACTCTGGGCAGCTTACATCATAAGATAATACAAAAAATTAAAAAATAAGAAAAATTAAACAGACTAAAAAGCCACAGGATAGGCAAACACAGGGATGGGGATCTTTTCTTTAACCCATCAGCCACTCCCAGCCTTGAGCGATCCTATCAGGGCTCCAAATCAGCCTGCACAGCCAGATTTTAATTTTCTTCCAAAAGGACCCCAAACCATGGGGGGGGGGGGGGGGCTGTGCTTTCAAATCTTGTTTTTTTAAAAAAGAAAAAAATCTTGGTGACCACCTGTGTATTTGCAGTTTTCTTGGCAAGGTTTTTCAGACATGGTTTGCAATGTTCCAATATTTAAGGGGCTGACACAGGGAGGAAGGGGGTCAAGCTATTTTCCAGAGCACCTGTAGGCCAGACAAGGAATAATGGATGGAAACTAAAGAAGGAGAGATTTAACCTGGAAATAAGGAGAAACTTTCTGACAGTGAGAACAATCAACCAATGGAACAGAAGTTGCCCTCGGAAGTTGTGGGAGCGCCATAAATTGAGACTTTCAAGAAGAGATTGGATTCCCATCTGTCAGAAATGGTGTAAGGTCTCCTGCTTGGGGGGTGGGTGGGCTGGACTAGATAACCTACAAGGTCCCTTCCAACTCTGTTAATCTGTAATCTACTTCACAGGGCTGGGAATGAGTGACTGACCCAAGGTTGTGCGGCTGGTTTTTGTGCCAAAGGTGGGACCAGAAAGTCTCCCCAAATGTCTAGTCTGGTGCTTTGACTGCTACACCAAACTATGCAAATGGGCACAAGCACCAAACAATGCAACTTTAAATTTATCTTAAATATTTATATTATGATTAAGAAATAATATTACACTCAATGAAATAACGTTTTGACATATATCTATCTGACCTCATCTAACACTTTTTTTAAAGGCTTAGTTGAAACAAATAGTTTACTGGAGAGAGAGATAAATTGGAACCCAGTGAAACTCCTCGGGGAAAATATTCCAAATTCCATCACAAAAAGCCTTCTCCGCACCTGACATTTGCATTGTGTTTGACATCAAAAGTGCCTGGAGAAGATCAATATCTATGTTTATAGGTAGGTTCACAAGAGAGAAAGCGGCATTTCTCCTATCAGGTTTACTCTGGCTATCTGAGGTCACTTTGGGCTTTAAAGCAATAATCGGAACTAGTTCAGTTATACTCAGGAACACATGGGACAGGATAAGATAGTTCTGAACCAGTATGATAAAATCAAGTGCCAGTGGTACTACTGGGTTTCAGGAATTTATTTATTTATTTATCACATTTGGATATCACCTTCTTCCTCTTTCCCGGAGAAACTCTCAAATTGCACACTGATTTATGCCAGTGTGGAGTCGAGATAATGATTTTAGATGTTATTTGGACTATACCTTCCAAACATTTTTATAGTGTGGCTGGGCGATATTCTTACCCAAGCACAGGGATACGTTTTTGAAACACCTGAAACTTTGTGAATCAGAAAGGTAGCAAAGGATTGTTCTCTGCTACTCCAGGGGGAAAGATAAGAAATTGTAGAGTTGTAATTGCAGGAACGCTCTTATCTTGGATGGCAAACCTCAGATTAAGAATGTTTACAAGTAATTACAACTCAGGCAAACAAAGTCACTAATGTAAAGGAGGATTAGAGAGAGGAAGTAAACATATGTTAGACTTTAACTAGAGATAATTAGTTGTGTTAATTACTATGCTAGAAAGTAACAAAGGTTGAGCAACAACCAAAGTTAACCAATGTTAGAGGATTACTGAAAATGTGTATAAATGTAAGACTAGACTCCAATCATGATTCATGTGATCATGATCAAACACCTCGACTGCCTCGTCATTACAACAAGAAATAATCCATAGAACAATAGAATTCTGTTCACGATTAGACGTCCAATGGAACAAAAGAGAAAGCAGCTTTCCTTCCTGTTGTTGGGAGTTCTCAACCCCTCAAAGTTTTCAACCACGGTACCCACAATTTCAAACACTCCCTATATCTCCAAAGTTAGAGTGCTCTTGTAATTCAATTATTTACATGGTCACTGCAATTTTAGAATTTATACATGTACTAGCATGCAAGCATATAAGGAAAAAGAAATCTTAGCCTTAAAAAAAGTTCCACAAATAATTTTGTAATTGTTTACACTGTAGCAATTTAAACACTGTAGCAAAGATATTCATACTGTTTGTTCTACAAACAGCAACATTGTTTCACAGTTTAGTTGCCACTTCTAAAATCAATGTAAAGTTATAGAAGACCTTGACTATTACAGTTACCAAAATGAGTAACATGGGATAAGAAGGCACATATTCTTTTGTTAACTTGACTTAAATATAGGAAAGTGAATACATGAACATTTTTAATGCTTGGAAAAAAATGCAAACCGGGATTCTATAAGGAGAGCAGTGAGTTGATCAAATTTAATAATATTTGTGTTAATTATATTAGAAGCAAAAGGAGATTATAATGAACTCCAATAGGATCAATCCCAATTATCAAACAGAAAACAAATTAAATGGAAACTAGGGTGTCATTCACTTTTTTTAAAAAAAATCTAAATTTCAAATACACATTAATAGGATCTAAGCAGATCAGATTTTTGACTCACAAATACGTAGCTTAAGAAAAATAACTGTCTAGAATAACCTCACGGCCAGATAGGCGGCAAATAAATTTAACAAATAAATAAAATTAAAAAATATCAATCCAGTGTATGGCTACTGAAATGGAATCATTCAGAAGGGAACCAAGAATTTAAAAAAAGACAACAACTGAATTTCCTTATGTGATTTTATGACTTCAAACTTGAAGCACTGCTTATCATTGTGATCACCACAACTGAAAAAAGGATATTCTAGAGCAGGGGTCGCCAACCTTTTGGACCTCAGGGACCACCAAACTCATAATTTTAAATCCCAGGGACCACTAATTGGTTCTGTGGGTGTGGCCTAATTTGTGGGTGTGGCTTGGTGGTCATGTGACTGGCTGGGCATAGCTTGTATGTACATATTATAAATATTTATATAAATATTGAATTTTTTATTAAAAAGAGCAACTTTTACCCAAAATCAGGCAAAGCCGGCAGGCAGATTGAGTTGCTCACAGACTCACAGATTCATTCAGAGATCTATTTATCTGCCATTGGCTAGCTCAGTCTGTCATATAAAATTTGCTAGCAAGCAAACTCACAAAATTAACTCACAACACACTATGCATGTAAATATTGATTTTTTTATTTTAAAGAAAGAGCAACTTTTACCCAAAATCAGGCAAAGCAGGCAGATTGAGTTGCTCACAGAATCATTCAGTGATCTATCTATCTGCCATCGGCTAGCTCAGTCTCTCAAATTTGCTTGCCGTGAGTCTGCACTGAATTTGCTTGTAAGCAAACCTTCAGTCCTAAGGGAGGTTTGACTGTGCTGAGCCGAAGATCTAAAGACTAGCTAGAAAGCAAGAAATCCAACCATTTCCTGCTTCCTAGCTAATCTAAATCTCCTGACACAGCAGAACAGATGATGGTCGGAAAAAGGAAAAATAGCAATTTAGCAGGCAAGTTTACCGGGTAAGGAGTGAGTGGGCAGGGAGGGTTCCCACGGGCCATGTGGGCGGCGCAGCCTGGATTAATTGCTTTGTGGGGGATGCTCTGGGGGTGAGATTTCTCTGCGGCCCACCAAAATTTTCTCACAGTCCACCAGTGGGCCGCAGCCCACCGGTTGGCGACCGCTGTTCTGTAGTGATTGTCAAAGTGTGGTGTGAGGGAACCATGGGCCTTTACAAAGAAAGTCTAAAGTTTAGGGGACTTTTTAGCTTGCAGCAAAACCATAGAAGAAGAAACATGATAAGGATTTATAAATCATCATGGTATGAAAAATTTCTCCCAATGTTAGAACTCAGGATATCCAATAAAATTAAATACAGGAAATTAAGGATGGAATTATTCTGGCAAGTTCTTTAAAATTCTGCAAAATACATAAATACACTTATGAATGAATGAGTTTGTAAAAAGATATGTTGATGGTCACCAGTTAAGTTGGCCTTTAAAAGGCTCTAGAAAAAATTCATCTATAGGATCATCTACCAATGAGAATTTATCTTAATAAGTTATTTGCTTATTTTTCTTATACTGCTACTCATGGAAGTGAACCAATATTAGAAATACTCTGAATTTTTATAACCAACACAATAAAATCAAAGTCTATAAATACAATTATAACTAGGCATCCAACACACCTAGTTATTTTCTCTGAGATCACAGGGAGCATTTACTGAACAATAATTGCTAAGAAATGGCAATGGAAAATCACTGTCTCCTCTACATTTCCAAATTGTGCTATTGACCTGATCCTTACGGTATGGAAATAGAAAATCATTAACTGATACAGAAAGAACCTCAGAAAAGTTGCAAAAGTAACATTTAATAACACAGCCAAACTTTTTAACAAAGCAAGAATAAGAAAACAGAACTAATCCAGAAGCCAATTAACATAATATTGTGTTGGATGGGAATAGGATGGGATGATAGTCAAAACTTTGTGTTCTTCTAAATCGTGAATGCTGTTTTCTATGCAATTTTCAATGCAATTTCTTTGGCAGCGTTTTCAGAAGTAATTTGCCACTGCCTTCTTTCTGGCAGAGTTGAGGGAGAAGGAATGGCCCATAGTCAACCAACTAATTTTGTGCCTAAGCAGAGCTACAAATCACTTTCTTGGTTTCTACCCTAGTTCATTTATTCCCTTCACCAAACTGCCTCTCCAAAAGGGGCTGCTATGCTGTATGTTAAATACGAGGATATAAGTTGCCTTTGGAAGTCTCTAATCTCTAAAGCAAAATCTTCAACTGCCCCAAGACTATTGAACATTCATCTTCCAAGAATTTCTTTAATCGGACTGATCTGGGAGTCCTTAGCCTCTTAAATTTTGTATT